GTGGCGGCTGCCGCTGCGGAGGAGGCGGAGGAGGAGGAGGAAGAAGACGGGGGCAGCGAGGAGGAAGGAGAGGAGAAGATTGGTCATAGCTGGTGTCTGTGGTTGGCTAAATGATTTCTTGAAGCATGTTTATAGTTAGGAGTAGGAGGTATGGTTATAAATGCAATTTGGCTATATGTGTATATGTGTGTGTATAAATATATATACTTTTTTTTCTTCTATAATATAATAATTTAAAATTTTATACTTAAAAGTAACATTTAACTACCGTATTTATACTCGTATTTTATATATTCCCATGTGTGTTCCCATTTGTCATCCATTCATTCGTAAATGTGGAGAGGAGTCTTGCATGTGATACACATGCAGCGACGGAATTTTAATTGGGAAATGTTATACACTTGAGTTCTTTTTTGCTTCTAGAAATTATATCAAAATTCTACTATATAAAACACAAAATATCCCACGTCATAAACAAAAGATCTAATATTTGATAGCGTTTATAACATTTTTTTTATAAGATTCGAACCAAGCACGAGTCCTCCGAGTTGTAGGTTAAAGTTTAATATACTTTATGCATACAATGCATACATATATATATATATATATATATATATATATATATATACGTACCTTTAAGAGCATATGGACAAAAAGTACAATGAATTGGAATTCATTGTACACATACTTATATATCGAATTGCATAGAAAAAATAGGTACATACATAGAATAACGTGGTAGGTGATGCAGGTGGCAAGGCGGTAGAGGAAAAGTATGCGGGTGGAACGTTGGGTGAAAACGAGATATGTTTCTTGATGGGTAGGTTTGGCACACACCGTCACTCTTGATATCTTCTTCACCCAACGGTATATACATATACATACACACACATAAGATAGGTGGTCATTTATTATACGTGAAATCTGAACGGCCCATTTAAAGCCATACATACGCTTTCTCGTGCAATATTAAATCGATGGGTGCAGCAGCCAAAAGCAAAAGGGTTTTAGGTAACTATGGAAAATATGACCACGCAGTACTAAGGGTTATACGGGTTTAGTATTCGGACTTTATGTATAGTGTATTCTTTATATTATTGTGGTTGTTCGATTTTAATATTCGCATTGACTAATACGGTTCGTGAATATTAATTTGGACCGTCTCAATATTTCAAAGGGTCCCCATTCGATCAACTTGTATTTGGAGCATGTAATTACTGTGACAAGAGAACAGAATTTATGATTTATTTTTTTTGGTTGGAATGCTGCACACTCTGTGAGAAGACGACGTGGGAAGAGACAAGGAAGAGATGAGAAATGAGCGACCATGGATTCACCATCGTGTTAAGGTCCTTCTTCACATATTTAGGAGAGGTGTTAGGTACCGAATATATTTAGCAATGCTTTCATAAATCCAATTTATTGGGAAAACTGCTACGTTTGCCTCGGAATCATCTCAAAAATATTTGTTGATTACTAAAAAAACATATGAAAAAGAAAAAATAAATCTTTTACATAAAATAAGAAGCGGATCAAACCTCTTTCCCAATCCGGGTTCGATTCTTCACTTGGGGAGGGACATTCACATGAGCTTCTCCAATCCTTCGAATGCAAAAAAAAAAAGTCTTTTACTCCGACTCCGAGAGTTGTTCATCCTTTCTTCGTTCTCGAAATAAACCCGAAATCTCAACGTCCATTAGATGTTTTTAGAGATGTCAAAATGGGTCGGGTTATGCGGGTTAACCCGACCCAACCCGATTATTCACCTAAATGGTTTAACCCATTTGAATAATTTTTTTAAATGGGTTAAGTGGGTTTTAACCCATTCAACCCATGGGTTAAATGGGTTATTTAAAACCCACTATATTATCAACATTAACATTTATATTAACCCATTCAACCCACTATATTATTATATAATAACTAAAATTCTTATATATAGATATATAAATAGTAATATACGCTGTATATATATTTAAATATATATTATATATGTACGTATATATAAACATATATATGTATGCGAATTAAAAAATATAATATCGGATTGAAAAGTTTGCTATCGTTTTTGAATCGAACCGAAATATTTGGTATCGTTTTTGAACCGAACCGAAAAAATTGGCACCGTTTTCAAATCAAAACGAAAAAAATTGATATCGTTTTCGAATCGAACCGAAAAACTCGTTACCGTTTTCGAATCGAACCATACCAAAAAGTTTAGAAACCTGATATCCAAAAAATCGGTATCGTTTCCGAACAACCAAAAAAATCGATAACGTTTCTGAATTGAACCAAAAAATTTGTTACCATTTTCCAATCGAATAGTAACGAAAATTTCAAAAACCCGATATTCAAAAAATCGATACCATTTTTGAACCGAATTGAAAAAATCGATATCACTTTCGAATCGAACCGAATCGAAAAAATCGATATCATTTTTTAATCGAACCGAATCGAAAAAATCGATATCGTTTTCGAATCGAACCGAATCGAAAAAATCGATTTCGTTTTCGAATCGAAAAAATCGATTTTGTTTCTGAATCGAACAAAAAAATTTGTTACCATTTTTGAATCGAATAGTACCGAAAATTTCAAAACCCCGATATTCGAAAAATCAGCACCATTTTCGAACCGAATCGAAAAAATCGATATCGTTTTTGAATCGAACCGAATCGAAAAAATCGATATCGTTTTCGAATCGAACATAATCAAAAAATCGATTTCGTTTCTGAATCAAACCGAAATAATCGATATCGTTTCCGAATTGAAACGAAAAACTCATTGTCGTTTTTGAACCGAACGGTACCAAAAAAATTGATAATCCGATATCCGAAAAATCGGTATAATTTTCAAATAGAATCCGATATATATGTGTACGAACTAAAAAAAATATCTCAAAGATTATTATGTTTAAATGATAATAAGTTTATTGTGAGAAAATTAAATGGGTTAATTAGGTGGTTATGGGTTTTATGGGTTAACCCAACCCATATAACAATTATTATTGGGTTGACCCAACCCAAACCTATAATTTTTAAAACCCAAATGGGTTGGGCCCAAATGGGTTGGGCAACCCATATTGACATCACTAGATGTTTTCTTAAAGGGTGACTCGCATTTCTTCCCCGGCTAACGAAAGTATCTCATCGACCCTGTGAATCGATCAAAAAACACAGTTTCGGTCATAATTATGTTTCCAAATATTCAGGAGACAGAACGTATGGAGGTGAAATGGAACAAAGGGCTTATGAATGCAAGCTTTGGATACCTGTGTGTGTCAATGTTCACTTCAGTCAACCATGTTGTTAAGTAAATCTGTAAAGCAGAAACAATGAAGTCTCCTTAGAAGATGGTGACAAAAGGGTATATGCATCATGTCTATACCGATTTTTTTTTTTTTTTGTGTGTGTGTAAATGTAATTCAACCCAGTACCTGCAAGGTTTCCTCGGTTGGCTGGGCAGTATGCGATAGAGTCGGAGTAACTGATTCATTGTCCCTCAGACACGGGGGAACTGGCCCGGGTGTTTCCGTGGAGTACAGACAACATTTGGCCAGATCCTCGGATTCTCCATGGTAAAGCTCAGTTGACCAGCTCAACTTGTCAGGCTGTGGAACTTCAGTGCTTAAGGCCACCAGTTCCAGTACGAGCAATCTCTGTTCACAGTGGCGTATAACGTTAGATACATACCGTATAGGAAGAAGAGTGAGAAAGTCAGGGAATACCTTCAGTATAACTTCACGTCTGAACATCTCCACAAGCTCCTCGGCCATCTGCTCTGAGATATTTCAGAGACAATGGCAAATCATGTCATATTAATGGTCTAAAGCTTTGTACGAGCAGTGCAAGTATCAAATCTCGGGAAATAGAATTTAGCAGAATCCAGGATCACAGTGATCACTCTACTTGGAACATGTTCATACCGAATGTAGAGACAGTCCAGAAATTACACACGGGGATGTCGCCGCCATCACCAGCATCATTTGCATCTTCTGGAGAGCTGGAAAACTGTAGTAGTGGACTGCTGCTAATCTTGATATAACATCTCATGGATCTACTTGCATTCACCAACTCAACTAAGATCCCCACCTGTATTTCTACAAATTATTTAAAGATTCCCAGATCACAACGGGAGACAATCTCACAGATCTTCCTAGAGCAACCGGGTTTGCACAATGGCATTGAATAGACGAAAAAGAAAAAAGAATGAGGCGAACAGGATTCTCGGGCTTGTACACCTACCATTTCCTTATAAGATGATAGAAGGTTGCTCCTATGGGAATCCTGAGGAGAGCGATTCGGTAAATGGATCAGACTAACTACAATCTCGATAAAGAAGAAACAACGAATAAAGATAAGAGGTCAATGCAAGCTCACTTGTTGCTTACACAACTTATCCGACGCTTTCTTTCTGATATTCAGCATGTCGCTCAGTACACCAAGTTCCATGTGGGGTATATACCTATGGCAATGAACAATAAAGTAAGAACGGAGCAATTCAATCACTGATCAAATCACAAGAAGAAACAGATCATCTGAAAGGCAAGAATAGAGAAAAGAGAGAGTAGAAGTCACAAAAAGTATATTGGCATTCCCACATTTTGTGGAATACCCATAGTTTCTCGCTATCCTAACAATAACAATACCTAACCAAGTATTCAAATCTTCAGGTTTTCAATGGAGAATCCAGAATAAGCAGCATCAAAACAATCCCAAACCATTCTGTTCACACAAACAACCACCGTCCACACCAAAATTCAAAGCAGATTGAAAAGAGAAGGTGCGAAAAAGTTATATACTTCAGGGACAAGAAGGAGTTGACGAGCGAAGTGGCGTGTGATCTCCCGGCGGAAGAAGCGGCGATCCATTGTTTCCGGTAATTCGACAGCTTTGACCACTGGTTCCTCAGATTCCGGTGAGCAGCCGGTCTCCACAGCCTCGTCGCAGCTGATGAAGTCGCCGGAGAAGCGCTCATCTGCTTCGAAAAAGAGGAGAAATCAGAGTTCCAAGCTTAGGGTTCCAAAAAGTTTTTACTTTGGGACACGACTGCAAATTTTTTTTTTAAAAAAGGTAATGTAAGAATGAAATGGGCCATAGTGGGCCTGGGCTCGTAGCCCAAAGAATAAGGGTACTTCCGTAATTTCAGAGGCCGCTCCGGAATAACTCAAAAACCCTAGGTGTGTCACTTCCTAATCCCTTCTTCTCGCTCACCGAAGACTGTTCCGCAGCGCCGACGCCGCAGCACAAAGAAGGAGAAGCACCAGAGGAAGGAGCTGAAACGGTGAAACAATGGCGACGGGAAGAACGGTGAAGGATGTATCTCCACACGAGTTTGTCAAGTCCTACGCCGCGCATCTCAAGCGATCCGGCAAGGTAATGTACCCTGCGACCGACGAATCTGTGCTTTGCTTCTTCGCTTGCATTCTCAAAAGACTTCTCGAAATCTTTTTGTTTGTGTTCGTCGATTCGTTTTAAGTATCGGGTTTTGGGTTAAGAATTGGTTCCGTTTGTTGTTAGATTGGATGTCATCCCGTTTCGGTTGTTGTGAAGTATTGTTTGGATTTGAATTGGTGTTACTCTCTGTGAAGATTTGAATCGGAAACTGTGCTGATCCAACGGATCCTTAACAGATTCGTATCTTGAAGCACATCACAGAGGTGTCGATTGAGATGAGAACCCGGACCTAGCTGATTTCATTGAGAGATTTCGATTTGATAAGCCATAAATTTCACGTGATTTAGTGGGAGATGATGCCTGAGATAGGTTATGTTTCATAACAATATCCATGGGTTTGACTGTCGTTGTGATATGCTTTCATATCTGTTCACCAATAACACCTGGAACTAGGTCAGTTTCATTGGTTGCCTCACATTGCATTTCATGTTCCATAACTAGAGTATTGCTCTCGTGTAGATTGAGCTGCCGCCATGGACAGACATTGTCAAGACCGGAACCCTGAAGGAACTTGCTCCATACGATCCTGACTGGTACTACATCAGAGCCGGTATGTGTAACTCTCAGCTGCCTTGGCTATACCTCTAATACCTGTACAAAATTGTAGAAGTAACTATCGAGAAATATTCCTTTTTTTAGCATCAATGGCGAGGAAAATCTACCTGAGGGGCGGACTCGGAGTCGGTGCCTTCCGTAGGATCTATGGAGGAAGCAAGAGGAACGGAAGCCGACCACCCCACTTTGGCAAGAGCAGCGGTGCCATTGCCCGTCACATTCTTCAGCAGTTGCAGGCTATGCAGATCGTAGACCTCGACACCAAGGGGTGAGTTTCTCTTTTCTGCTCGATATCTCATCGGCATTTTACGTGATTGCTAATGAGTGTATTGAATCGAGTCATGTACTATTCTTCTGCTAAATATTATGCCATTGTTTCCGATGTAACCAGCGGGAGGAGAATCACATCGAATGGGCAGAGGGATCTTGACCAAGTTGCGGGAAGGATCACGGTTGCTCTCTAAGTGAGTAAGAATGGAAAACGTGGGAAAAGAAACAAACGTTATGGTTGTGATAGTTTTGGAATTGAGTTTTCTTTAGAACCAAACCGCCAAATTAGGGTTTCAGTGTCTTTATGTTTTTGTCTCTTTTGCTCTCTCTCCATATTCTATTGTCTCATCGACTTCATCTATATGTTATCTTGGACTATGCTTTTTTTTTCGTTTTAAATTTATTTCATGTCGTCAATTCGCGTGTGAGTTTTTGCCATATATGTTTTGAAGCGGAAGAAACGTGAATTATATATTCTTTGGTATATTCGTTTGGACATCTACATGAATGTGAAAATGTGCATTCAAGGTTTGATAACTCGAGCCTTTTTAACATTTTTATGCATATTTTTGGATCGACCGGATTATATATTATTTAGGGTATTTTTTTTTATCTGTCAGAAATAAATATTAGGTTTTGTATGGATATTTTTTTTTGTTTTTGCCATGCAGTTCCTCGCAATGGACATGAACTACGGTTGCATAATCGGACCGAAGCTTAGGATAACCATTTTGAATCAAAATTTATATCCCTATCTACCAATGAAATCGAATCCAATACTTTGATGATGATTTTGTCATTTTTCATCCGCTTTGAATACTAATTGTTGGGTTAATTTGGCTAGACTCGTAGTGATTAAGAATCGCAGTTTTGTTGGAAGAGGAAAAATATCAAAATTGATTTGTAAAATCAATTTTTTTTGGTAGTGTTAAATATAATTTACACATCAATCTGTATGTTACTTGGTAAAGAGGCTTCTTTTTTATTAAAAAGACAAAAAAACCCGAATAATAGATGATAATGATGTAATGTTTTTTTGTTCACTATATTGACTCATATATATATATATAAGGAGTAATACGCATCATCATCATCATCATCATTAGTACTGCAAGACAAATCATTTTTTGTGTGGTGCATCAAAATGACAAGTCTTCTTTAGTTGGTAGTAAGATCCTAATATAACAACCAAAATATATAGGAACAAATTGTAAATTTTTTTTAGCATATACGCGGGGTTGTTTGCGAAATACGGCATTTAAATCTTAGAAATCAGATTTTACAGTTATTCTTTTTTATTTACAAGAAGATATAATTCCATTTTTTGAAACATCTTCAGGATCTCTTTATAGATTCTGTAACCAAAAAAAAAAAGTTGCATATTGGATTGTAACGTTACTGAAAAACAGGAACTCACAAATTGATCTGATTACGAAACTATCGGAGAGGATGAAAGATTCAAGCTTTGTGGACGTTCTCTAATTAATTTCGTCAGATCTTCTTCTTCCATGGCGATGGCGATGTCAATGTCAAAGTTGAAAGCTTTATCATGAAAACCACAACTTTCTCTTCTCTTTCCATTTTTTTATCCCTTCGTTAGAATCCATTCTCACTTTTTTTTTCCTCCCCAATACTAACCCGCGAGTCCATCCTTGACCCTCGCCAAAACCTCGATTTCGTGGAAAAAAAGTTGTCGATTCGGTGTCGATTTCCCTGCAATCTCTGATTCCTCGGGATATTTTACAGAAATTCCCCTTGATTTTAATCTTCTGATCATCCGATCAATCTTCTTCTTCGAACTGTGTTGAGTCGGGAGGAGAAGGGGAAGCGCGATTAAATGGGGTGTTGCCTGAGCACGACGGCGGCTGGCTCGAAGTCTAGCCGGGTCTCGCGGTGGCGATCCACCGGAATCGTCGCCCTCCGCGACGCCAAGTTGAAGGTAATCGGACGTTCTTCTCTTTTTCTCCACGATCGATTCCAGAAAGGTCATCGAAGCGCTTGTGTGTTCGACAATTTGTCTCAGAAACCTTTGTGTATCTGTGTATGCATATGCCTGCGTAGATGTCTGGTGTTATCGTTTCTTGTCGGAATCCTGGGTTTGCGTGATCGTATCTTTCCCTTTTTTTATCCCTTCGTTAGAATCCATTCTCACTTTTTTTTTCCTCCCCAATACTAACCCGCGAGTCCATCCTTGACCCTCGCCAAAACCTCGATTTCGTGGAAAAAAAGTTGTCGATTCGGTGTCGATTTCCCTGCAATCTCTGATTCCTCGGGATATTTTACAGAAATTCCCCTTGATTTTAATCTTCTGATCATCCGATCAATCTTCTTCTTCGAACTGTGTTGAGTCGGGAGGAGAAGGGGAAGCGCGATTAAATGGGGTGTTGCCTGAGCACGACGGCGGCTGGCTCGAAGTCTAGCCGGGTCTCGCGGTGGCGATCCACCGGAATCGTCGCCCTCCGCGACGCCAAGTTGAAGGTAATCGGACGTTCTTCTCTTTTTCTCCACGATCGATTCCAGAAAGGTCATCGAAGCGCTTGTGTGTTCGACAATTTGTCTCAGAAACCTTTGTGTATCTGTGTATGCATATGCCTGCGTAGATGTCTGGTGTTATCGTTTCTTGTCGGAATCCTGGGTTTGCGTGATCGTATATTGGGTCAAAGCGATGTCTGTGAGCAAATCCACGCATTTCACGCCGTGGCAACATATATGTACACATATACACACATATGTTTTAGGGTTTTGTTTCTGTGGTGTGCATCATTCTCGTGTTTTCGAATGATGGAATCGTGTGTTTCAGAAGCAGTTGATAGGTTAATTCTGTGGGTTTCTTTCCTCGAGCAGACATTTCCCGATGAAGTGATCGAAATGGAGAGAGCAGTTCGAACTCTCGATCTAACTCACAACAAGATCAGTATGGTTTCTGGTCTCTTTCTCTCTCAGTTTGCTGTCTCTCTCTTACGAGTTTCATAATCCTTCTTTTACCTTTTTCGCAGCTAATGTTCCTGGAGAAATCAGCAAACTGATAAATATGCAGCGTCTGGTAAGAATTTTGTAAAGCTCACCGCTTTATATTTTCGTTGTGAATTTTGCCTAATCATGATTGCGATTTCCCGCATTATGCTTGTATAGGGCATCAAAGATACTGTTAATGGAATTATGGGTAGCGGTTCATCCTGTTGAAACTGATACAGATATCATACCGGTTTAAATTCTCTTACAACTGATTGTTCTTTTCGCAGGTAATAGCCGATAATCTAATCGAGTGTCTTCCGGGGAATCTTGGGAAGCTTCAGTCTCTCAAAATTTTGATTCTTGATGGAAACCGCATCAGTTGTTTGCCTGATGAATGTAAGCTTCCACTATTTAAGTAGGGTCTGCCTTTTGGAACCATTCTTTTTTGCGCCTTCGGAATCTTGTTCAGAAGAGTGATGTATGAGCTGTTTTCCGATCATATGCATTTTGTGTTCTGCCAGTGGGTCAATTGGTAAGGCTTGAACAGTTGTCAATCTCAAGAAATATGCTCATATACTTGCCTGACACTATTGGAAGTCTTCGCAATGTAAGTAAACTATATCTGTTGAATCATAACTAAATGAAAAATCGTAGGGTCCATGGCATTAGCTTTCTCGGGTAATTTTTTTTTGTTTGGTCGACAGTTCCCGCTTCTAATTCGCTTGCTCGTAAACGCAGCTGGTGCTTTTGAACGTCTCAAATAACAAATTGAAATCCCTCCCAGAATCAGTTGGGAGCTGTGCTTCTTTGGAAGAATTACAGGCAAATGGTACGTTTCACGTTTTTTTTCTTCGTATTAGAACATCTAAATCCTCGAGTACAAGCTATGAACCATGGATTCTAGAGATTTCCTGGCGACGGCTGAATGATTTAGAGTAGTAAATTTCTAATCCAAAGCTGATTCCTGACTATGGATAGCTTTGCAGATAACGTTATTGAAGATCTCCCCGTGTCACTGTGCAATCTCGTACATTTAAAGTCCCTTTGCCTCGACAATAATCAAGTGAACCAGGTACTACTATTACTACACTCAGATTCCAATTTATTCCGGTTAATGGATTAGAAGATTTCAGCCATTTCTTCCATTTAGGGACTTCAAATCTTATTAGACCGCGCTAATCTTCTCCCCCGTGTGATTAAATGAAATCCGTAATGTTTTGGTTGACAGATACCCGATAATTTGCTGAAACAATGCACAAGTCTACAAAACATTTCCTTGCATAACAATCCCATTTCTATGGATCAATTTCAGCTGGTAAGTCTCATCTCTGTGTATTGTTATAACATACACGGGCATTTTTAATTGATAAAAAAACATTACAATATACCTTAGATGGAAGGATACCAAGAATTTGAAGCAAGGAGAAAGAAGAAGTTCGATAAGCAAATCGATTCCAATGTGATGATCAGCTCCAAAGGCCTTGATGTCGGTGTCGATAAATAACCTTCTCTATTTACTCTTGTAAGTCCTATAATTCCTTTTTTCTTTTTCCTTTCTATTTCGGATTCATCGACACCAATCTTGAATCTGATTCGAATATACAATAAAGATCCTGTCTTTTTTTCCGTAGCGCAGGCCAGATCAGCGAATCTGCATCATGGCAGGGACTATGATCTGTGTAAGCATGGCTCTGATCTTTCTGCAGGGTAGAATGCCTCAACTGCCGTGAAATGGAAGAACCCCCTTCGTTGCCTTTCTTTTTCTCAATTCTTGTACACATACTTGCCCATATACGCCAACATGAATGTACGTGTACACATTATGGACGCATGCACGTACTTGTTTCTCTGTATGTGGTTGTGTATTATTATGTGATTTATACATATGATGTAAACATACATATATATATATATATATATATATATGGATGTATGTAAGGTAAGCCATTCTTGCATTACTGTTAACTGCAAAGGCGAGCTTTTACATGTGAAGTTGTTCATTGATTCCACCTCTTACAATCTCTGTTCGTGGAAGGGTTCGGCGGCTTACAGATTTGGATGAAAATGAAATTCTAAAAATGATGGGAACATTTCGAAGAAAACATTAAAGTATGGGGCCATTCTGCAATTATAGGTATCTAAACTCATTTCGTAATTTTCCCTGTTTGATTTACCGTTTGCGGACATAACGCAAACCCTAGCGTATTACTCCATGGCCTCTTCCTCGAAAATGCCATTTTGATTACTATTCTCCTCAACATTTGCTTGCGATTCTCCATTGATGTTTGGGGACGCGTGCTGCGTTTCTCGATGTATATGAATTTGTGCGATGATCTCGGCGGAGGAAGCATGGCCATCGGCGATGGAAATGGCGGCGCCGCACTACGCGGCGGCGAAAACTTCGGTGTGGTGGGACATTGAGAACTGTCCGGTTCCGAATGGTTTGGATGCAAATGGAGTGGCGCAGAACATTAGCTTGGCTTTGGTGAAGATGAACTACTTTGGTCCTTTCTCAATCTCCGCCTATGGCGACACCAATCGCATCCCTTACTCCGCCCAGCAAGCGCTCTATTCTTCTGGCGTCGCGCTATTTCATGTCCCCTCTGGTGAAATCTCCTAACTTTCTTGTTCGTATTCCTTGAGTTCTGTAAAAAAGAAAAAAAGAAAAAAGAAAGTTGTTGAAGTTACAATGTTGATTCTGAAGTGGAAGAGATTGAATTCGGAGTCAAACTCAAAGTTTTTAAGATTACTTCCAGTGTGTTTGTCTTTGTCGAATCTAAGACGTGTTCTTATGTTTGGTGGTTCCAAAAAGGACTGAAAGAGGAGAGTGACAATAAGCTTCTGGTGGATATGTTGTTGTGGGCAGTGGACAATCCCTCGCCTGCTAATGTTATGCTCATCTCGAGTGACCGTGGCTTCGCCAATTCGCTTCACCAGTTGAGCATTCGGAGTTACAACATTCTTTTAGGACAACCTCAAAAGGCGTCATCGACTCTGCTAATGGCTTCTGCAAAGACGGTATGGCTCTGGCCGAGCCTTGCAATGGGTGGACTTCCTCTCTCACGAGGTGAATCATCAGGACTTGTTGCCAATGGATGTTATTCTTCTGACTCTGAAACATCATATCATTCTGTTTCCGGGCAAGTTCTGTCCAGTCCATACATGTATTCAGATTCTGAAGATTGTGAAAGTAGAGGAGGAGGCTACATTTCGAAACCGTGGAATCAGCATGTGCTGCAATATGAGACTGGAAGAAACGAGCTTCTAAGCAATGGAGGCACAAACGAGTCTTTCAGGGTCTGCTTGTTGTGCAATGTTGTTTGCAATGGATTTGTACCTTTCACAGCCCACTTATCTGGGAGAAGGCACGCAGCTCAGGTAATCTAAAGGATTGATTCTAGCATATCCTAAACCAAAAAGAAATGCCGGTTTGAGAATCTCACCCAAAAATCAAAAACTTTTTCTTGTTTGGAACCCTTGTCAAGAAACAGAAGTCATGAACAGTATACCCGTTTTCTTGAAAGTACTTTCGTTTTTCTCACACGAAAGAAAGATAAATCAAAGCGTCTTTCTTTCTTTGTGTAGGTTGCTTTAGTGCTCAGCGGAGGAGGTGCGGGGCCTTTCTTTGCCTTACTCGGAGGTCAGGTCGGTGTTTCCACCAAACCCATAACGAAACCGAAGCTAGTGAAGCCTGTGTTCTGCAACATCTGCCAGATAAGCTGCAACAGCAAGATCGTGTATGCAGATCACATTTTAGGACAGAAACACCAGATGAACTTGGAGCTGAAACTGGGTAAACCCAGAAACACATGTTCAGGATCGGATGAGGATCTCGAGGACGAGGTGGAGAGGAAGAAGAAGAAGGTGATTGAACGTGGAGCAGAAGCAGGTGCGGTTAGGGTTTGCGGGTTGTGCAGTGTGGTGTGCAATAGCCAAATTGCCTTCGAGTCTCATCTAAGAGGCCTGAAGCATGCCGCTGCAATGGCGAAGAAGCTAACACCTGGGGTAAGTTGACAACTTTTTTTGGGACGTGTTCCAATTTTTGGCCCCGCGGATTTTGGATTTTAGAGAAAGCGGCGGACCCATTCGGATATCTAATTTGTGTATATAAAACTTGAGGGAACATTTTTTTCTTAAACCTTTCAGCGAGCCAATAATGCAGACTCGGCGTCAATTAGGGTTGGAGACACCGTGGGAGCCTTTCGGGGTTCGGTGTTTAAGATTTGTTACCGTGCCCGTGGAATGCTCCAAATGTTCGGATATCCGCACGGAAGACGAGGTTGTGCCTTATATATCATCCTATTACCATATCAACAAAACAATTCTACACATACTTGGAGCTTTCTCCGCAGATTGGAAATTCCAACCCATCAATAAACAAGAGTGCTCTAAACGGTTTAGCAACACAACAATGCCCCAATTGAACAATAAAGAGTACGAAAGTGCCTTCAGACAGGATGACTCGTGTGATATTATTCTCGCAAGATGCTCTGCTTAATGTATTTTCTAACCCAAAATACTAGGATGTGTCCTCTTCACCCGACAATTTCTCGTAGACGGCTGCCTGACGATAAGAAGGGAAAAACTTATTCTCATAACAACAACAATCAGGGTGCATGAAGGCAACGTCTCTACCATAATGGGACCTTCGGTTCATTGTAGTACATACGTAACACAGCGGATTAATCGGCGTTAAACGCCAAAACTAGGATTGCAACAAACAAAACTAACCTATTACCAACCCAGATGAATGATGCATACTATGGGATGTGTCATTCATTACCTACTGGAGCTTGATGTCCATGATGCTCTTGGTCTTCGGAGTGTAGAGCGAGTAGACTGCTGCCTGCCGTTTGGCGACCTCCAGCTGCGCCTTCCCTTCTTCAAAGGCCACGTACACTTTCTCTGGGTCTGTGAGACTCTGATTCAGGCGGAATCCATCTACCGTCCTTCGCTTTGTGTACTCTCTGATGTTGTAATCACTGAATACGCGTGCCACCCGAAGCAGGGATCGGCAGAGGTGGAGGACTTCGCTTCTCGATGGAGCAGATGCCATTGCAAGAAACAAACTCAACACCCTCCTTTAGCTGGGGAACCTGTGTGTGTACAAGGATATCCCAGGTGAAGGAAACATGACTTAAAAACACAGCAGTTCACACTAATGGCCATAGCAGGTACCAAAAGTAGAAGTGTAAAGCAAAACAAACGCAAGCACGCATAGTATTTTGTTTTCTCTTACACTCACTTTGTTCACCAGGTCGAACAAATAAGATTCAGAATGGCTTCAGTCTCAATGCATAAAAATCAATTATCAGGAGGGAAGAGAGTGACTGGCAGTGCAACATGAAAATGCAGTTTCAACCAAGGCCAAAGAACACAGATTTTAACAGATCACAAGAATCATGGAGAGTGAAGAGAATACCGCAAATTTAAAGAACAATAAGAGCCCAATCATCTACTGAGAATATCTTTGAAGAGGAAAGAGCTACAAGAAAAAAGAAATCAGGAATTCACAGCCCAACCCAACCGACAACAGAACAATCGAATCAGTGTATCATCCTTGGAAACACTAAGAATCATAGTTTCATCCATCGAAACGCTAAGACAAGAACACCGTAGGATCTTCATCGCTAACGAATGAAGAGCTACCGAAATGACAGTCGAAATTTTAACGTGAGTGGTGCATAAGATGTCAAATCCATCTTCAACTTCAGAACCTCTAGTTAGAGCTCAGATTTTGAGAAATTCATTCGCTAAAAACCCTTGCGACAATCAATTATGGAACCTAACTCCAACTCCCGCCACGATATACACGCCTCAGACTCCTAGTTCCAAAAAAATCAACAGAACTCAAAATAGAACAAAGGATCCGCCATTTCCGAATCCCTCCGAACGGTAGACAGACCAACAAATCTCACAGAAAGATAACACCGATTTGCATCGAGTGAGACACAGCCAAGGACATACCGAATCGAAACCACGACAGGAGAGAGAGAGAAATCCGAGGAGAGAAGGAACAAACCGTAGATATGTTGTCCACAGGCGAATCGGAGAGATCGCCGGAAATTACTCAAGTCCGACGATGTGGCGCCGATTCTGACCTTGCGGATAGCCGGCGCTATTATAATCAGTTCACGAGGGCTGCATCGAGTAAATGGGCCAACATCTTGGGTTAGACCTATGGCCCATTGGCAATAGTTAATTGGGCCTTTAAAGGCCCAATATATGCGAATTATCGGAAAAAAAGATATTTCGTATATTAGATAAATTGGGCCCATTAATGCGGCCCGTTTGTTGGTGAGCACCCAATATTAAGAAGCCGTGTGTGTACACAGGTTCTCATATCCTCCATAATTAGTATTTCGCTCACCTTTCTTCTCTGAACTCCTGAAGAATAAGAATTTGATTCTTATCCGACTTCCGAAAACCCTAATTTTCTCCAGCGATCCATCTCTCCGAAATTCATCCTTGTGCCGGTCTCTGATTCTCTATTTCGGTTGGATTCCACGTCGTCTAGAGTCTTCTCTTCACTATTCGGATTTCCCCCTCGTCCGTCCCGTTTTGATTTTGTGTATGTTTATGAATTTCGATCACTAAGCCGTGAAACTTGATGCCTATCGGTGTATTTTTCTCTGGAACATGTTTAAGGATTCGTATGTGTTAGTTTATTTGTTTGCTTGGAATTTTGTTTGCTTGCTTGCTTGCAAGTAGAGGATATTTGAGGCGTACATCGGCCAGAAGTTGGGGTTGTATCCATGGGTAGTAAGATTTGGTAGCTTCGAATTCCTTCTTGATTGTTTAAGGAGGTTTTTGTTCCTTGTTTTTTCTTAAAGATTGCATCTTGTCTCTTGGAGAACTTGTAGACAATATCTCAATCGGATTTCGGAAATCTACCGCCTTTGTATATTGGAAAGAGATTGATCGCTCTCTGAATATTTTTGTTTTAAGTTTCCGTTTTCTCATTTTTTTTCCTTTACATTTTAGGATTATTATTTTGTAGATTTCCTTTTTTCTTTAGAATTTTCCTTTATGTTTCTTAATTCATATTCCTGGTAGGAATGGGATTCTTATTTCTACCTCTACGTAACATTCAATTTGGTTTCGCTGATTTGATCTTTTTGTTCTTCTCTGTACAGGGTTGGTGATTGCCAGCAGCATTGTCCTCAGTTATCCTCGTCTGTTTTCTGGGATTAAGTCTCGGTCAAACACTAACGTCCAACTAGGTTTTGTGACTGTCTCGATGTTCTCTCCAATCTTGTTGCATCTCGATCAAGGGTTTGTCTGATTTTTCCAAGTTGCCCACGTTCCTGCCCTCATTGAATTCTATATAAAGCATCAGGTTCTGATTCCATCTAAAGTGATGTTCATATTCTCTTCTAAATGAGATCAAATCCTCGCTCGGATGGAGAGTTGTCTACTCATGGATCGGAGATGATCCCTGTGGAGATGGCGACCTCCCGCCATGGTCTGGTGTCACTTGTTCAACTCAAGGTGACTATAGGGTTGTTACCGAACTGTAAGTCGATGGTTTCAGGCAAAAGCATTGCGTATGTGTTTCATCTTACTTCAGTGCTCTTGTCTGTGCATCATCATGGCATGACTGAGTTTTTCATTTGATTGATCTTTGAGTTTTACAGCGAAGTTTATGCTGTTTCAATTGTTGGGCCGTTTCCCGTTGCGGTAACAAACCTTTTGGATTTGACAAGGCTGTAAGTCGTTTCTTAATGTTCCCTGTGATTGTCATCCTTTTCCTTTTGCTGAATTTATCATACCACTATCAAGTTTTGGCTGTTCTTCAAATGGTTAAATTGAAGTTTAGTCTCTCTATGTTGGTTTTTCAGGGATCTCCATAACAACAAACTGACCGGTCCGATTCCTCCACAAATTGGACGGCTAAAACGACTTAAAGTATTGTATGTTTCATCTTTTTTATCGATATGTTGCATTTTTCCTGCATTAGCTTCTGTTTTACAATCATATAATAGGTCTTTCCCTTACTGCCTTGCTAATCATTCCCTTGCCTCTCGTTAATTGAACTTTATAGGTTCCATTGTCCTTTTCATCCTGATTCATGTAAATCTGCATCCTTCATTGCCTAGTGTGGACCTGTTGCAGATTTCTAGTCAGAATCAGTGCCTTCAGTGACATTCTAGGGTAAGATTGGCATACAAAAACCATGTAAATCTGTGCCCTCATAGATTCTCCCCGGCTAGTAATCCGTCCTCGTCCTCGTGGTGGTTTTTCAAGTAACTTTTCCTTGAGTCTTCCCTACCTGAATAGTCTCTCCAAATCCGTAAAAGCTCGATCTTTTCTACTTTAGTTTCAGTTTCACCATTCCAAAGAAAGACAACCAAATGCTCCAAGAGCAGCAGCCGGTTTCTTTCTCACTCCAGCGTAACTCCCTAAGACGCCGGTCCCTGAGGTCAGGTGCTGACCGAGACGACAGAGGCTGGACTCTACTCCACGTCAAAGCCCGGAAGGGCGATCTCAAAGCTGTGAAAGAGCTCCTCGACCAGGGGATGGACGTGAACGCACCTGCCTGGGGACCCAAATCAAAAGGAGGGGTGACCCCTCTTCACCTCGCTGCCAAAGGAGGGCACATCCAAGTCATGGATGAGCTTCTCGACCGTGGGGCCAACATCGATGCCAGAACCTGGGGGGCCTGCGGCTGGACGCCGCTCCATGCCGCGGCCTATGAACGGAAGAGAGAAGCAGTGAAGTTTCTGGTGGAGAATGGCGCTTTCTTGCCTGATGATATAAGCGACTGCAGGTTCAATCCGCCGCTGCATTATTGTCCTGGTCTTGAATGGGCTTACGAAGAGTTGAAGAAACTCAAAGAGTCAACGACTTCTTCTTCATCATCATCATCTTGTGGAGACACTTCTTTCAGTTCTGGGAGCTTATGATCTTGTCTGACTGTTGCCCCTCTTGAAGCTGTTTCAGAGTCAGACACTTGTCCGAATATGTTTTTTTTTGTTTTGTTATTTGGTCTTTCTACAAACCTGTGGTGGTTGGTCTTGTCATGTTACATTGGTTGGTTATTATAGAACACTGTTATCTAACCAGTGTGCGATATCCTCAACACGGTGTTTGTGAGCTTTACTTTATATCAGGGGATTTTGGTTAACCGGTGGGATTTGCTGGTAATTTGTAAACCGGTAATTCACGAACCAATTACTTCACATTGAACCGAACCGGTAGTTTCAACTAAACCGGTCTCATTTGATTTCCGCATCTGGGTCCAATCCAACTAAGATCCGTCGGTGGAGAGAGATTTAAACGGCTTGTGATTTCTTTAAATCGCCTCTTACCATTTGTTTCCTCGTCCTCTTTGGCTAAGAAGCTAAAATCATGGCTACTCCCTCGAAGCTACTCGTGATCTGCATCGTTTCTTGCTTGTTTGCTCTCTCGCAAGCGAAAACCCTTAAGCGAGATGGTAAGTCTTCTCATTTGCGATCTGATCTTCTTTTTATTCATCGCCCATCAATGGACTTACAGTTCTCGACATTCTTGGAACGTAGTGGTGTCTGAAACTCAATCTTCTTTTATTATTTTTCATGATTTAGCTCGAAATTTCAAATCTTGGTATCTGGGTTCGGCTGAAATTGGAGAGAATTTTGTGTTTGCAGTGAAAGTTTCACCATGAAATGAATTGTTCTGTGAAATCATCAAAGGTTTTAAGATTTTGTAATCGCTTGTTAGCGTTGTATACGCCAAGATGATTCTTTAGCAATCCATGAAATCTGCTTCTCGATGAACTCGCAAGTGGTGATCTGAAACAATGACGAATTGGCTAGCGATTGTGTTTATGCTCAATTGCTCAGATGGTAGCTTTTCTCTGAGTTACTTGGTCGAGTTAAGATCATTTGGTGTTCATCTTCTGGCAGTGAAAGCGCTAAATGAGATCAAATCCTCGCTCGGATGGAGAGTTGTCTACTCATGGATCGGAGATGATCCCTGTGGAGATGGCGACCTCCCGCCATGGTCTGGTGTCACTTGTTCAACTCAAGGTGACTATAGGGTTGTTACCGAACTGTAAGTCGATGGTTTCAGGCAAAAGCATTGCGTATGTGTTTCATCTTACTTCAGTGCTCTTGTCTGTGCATCATCATGGCATGACTGAGTTTTTCATTTGATTGATCTTTGAGTTTTACAGCGAAGTTTATGCTGTTTCAATTGTTGGGCCGTTTCCCGTTGCGGTAACAAACCTTTTGGATTTGACAAGGCTGTAAGTCGTTTCTTAATGTTCCCTGTGATTGTCATCCTTTTCCTTTTGCTGAATTTATCATACCACTATCAAGTTTTGGCTGTTCTTCAAATGGTTAAATTGAAGTTTAGTCTCTCTATGTTGGTTTTTCAGGGATCTCCATAACAACAAACTGACCGGTCCGATTCCTCCACAAATTGGACGGCTAAAACGACTTAAAGTATTGTATGTTTCATCTTTTTTATCGATATGTTGCATTTTTCCTGCATTAGCTTCTGTTTTACAATCATATAATAGGTTCCTTTTCCCTGTATTTTCTTTGTTGTTCCCTCTAGAAACTTGAGGTGGAACAAACTACAAGACCTAATCCCTCCTGAAATCGGTGAGCTGAAGAGGCTAACGCATTTGTGAGTGCTCGTCATTCTTATGTGGCTTTGTGTCAACAATATCTTCCTTTTCGGTGCCAAATTGAATCAGTAGTTTCTTCATTGTGTTTTAAAGGTACTTGAGCTTCAACAACTTTAAGGGAGAAATCCCAAAGGAGCTGGCTAACCTACCCGAGCTCCGTTATCTTTATCTTCAAGAAAACCGTCTCAGTGGCAGAATTCCTCCAGAATTGGGGACTTTGCAAAATCTCAGACACCTGTAAAGAAACACCTAAACTCTCATTTTCGGACATTCATTCTGTCTGGATATTTTTCCAGTATTCATTCACAGTTGACGTTTACTCGTACTTGGCTGGATTCTTCTGTATCCTCGTCCTTTCAGAGACGTCGGTAACAACCATTTGGTGGGTACCATAAGAGAGCTCATCCGATTCGAAGGAAGCTTTCCGGCTCTGCGCAACTTGTAAGCACCATTTGCAATTTTTCACCAGAAGCTTTTCTCCCTTCTTCGAAATCTTATTATCAAATTAATTTTGTCCTCTGAAACTGTGGTTTTTTCTAGGTATATGAATAGCAACTACTTGAGTGGAGGTGTCCCGGCACAACTGGCCAATCTGACAAACTTGGAGATAGTGTAAGTATTTTGCAGAAAACAAGAAAGAAATCAAAGATGTACAGATTGTTCAGCATTAAGCAATGCAGCAAAGATATATCTCACTTAACAGCGCACAATGGCTTTGTTAGGTACTTGTCCTACAACAGGTTCATCGGCAATATACCATCTGCAGTTGCCCATATTCCGAAACTGACATACCTGTGAGTTCAGTTCAACCTTTTGGATTTCCTATCGTTTGCTACTGATATCCAATCTCTCTGTGTATTTATATCGACCCGTTGTAGCTCGGGATACTGTTTTGCCATTGGGCATTTATTCTTTAGGTATTATCCCCTTCACAAAGTTTAGCTCTTTCTCCGATTTAGAGGTTCTCCGGTTATAATTGACCCGAAAGTACAGGCTTTCGGGTAAATTCTCTAAAACGAACCTGCAGTCTCAATCTCATGGTGTTGTTGATTTGAGTAACAGGTATCTTGATCACAACCAATTCACTGGGAGAATCCCGGACGCGTTCTACAAGCATCCATTCCTCAAAGAATTGTGAGTGCCTCTTATCCATCACCTTTTGGTCTCTTTCCGGAAAAAGAAAAACACAAACTTGTTGACGAAAACACAAACATATACCTCGGCCACGGCAGGATGTGTCCTGAGGAGTTCTTGGAAACGACCATCTGGGGAAAAAGTTTTAGGGTGTTTTCTTTGATCTGTGACGATGAGGAGTGGGTGTTTCTTGAGATGTGCAGGTATATAGAAGGCAACATGTTCAAACCAGGCGTGAATCCTATCGGCGCGCACAAAGTTCTAGAGGTTTCCGACGCCGATTTTGTCGTGTAGCGAAGTGATGGAGCTCCAACGTTTTGGGAATGGAACTACTTAGGAATGAATGTTTCGGCGCTTCATCCACTGCTGTAGTGCTATTATTGGGCAATTTTGGGAAGATATCACAGAAATTCCTCGCTCGTATTGTAATTTATTCTAATCATCCAATTATACAAACGACAAAAAATGCTTTCTTTTTTTTTTAAATAATAATATGGCAAATAATTTGTATGGGGAACTTGTAAGATACACGCTAGTGAAACTCGAAGTCACCCTCCACCATGATATCTTGATGGGATAAAAGACTAGTTTAATATTATTTATTTTATTATTTGATACACCCACCCTGGTTGATATATATATATATATATATATATATGTAAATCCATTATATTTGACCAGAATTCGATTATAAGATTCGAGGTCGACAACTAGGTTTAAAAAAAAAAGAATTTATGATGCATCATCGATCCGGAACACATTGAATCATGAAGCATCATCCATCCAGATTCGAAGTCACATGGAATACACACACATATATATATATATATATATATATATATATGTATATTGACGAGATAAAGGAGTGGGTGGGGAGACTTTGGTAAAGCAGTGGTGAGAGGGTCGCTTATTCCATCTGATTTTTCTTTTTAAATTCAACTTGCTTAGGAAATGCAACCTCCATTTTACTTTGAAAGGTCTTTTATTCAAATTCGTCGGCATGATAGCAACTGGGAATATCATTTATAAGAAGGGTTTAGGGATAAGGTGTCCATCCCCAATCTCTCCTCTCTCTCTCTCTCTCTCTCCCTATCCCTGGTGGTGGTAAGCTGTTCTTTCTCTGCGTTGGGTGTTGCATTGATTTCGTTGGACTTTGAATCTCGTTTCAGGAAACCCTTTTGTTTTTTGTTTCTCGCGAAATTTAGGTGTGTCTGAGTGGATAAGGGTTTTCGAGGTCACGGCTTCTGGGCTCGCTGGTTTTCCGTTTGTTTCTCGGGAAAATTGGAGTGGGAAAAGGTGGAAGTAGAGATAGGGAAGTGGGTTCGGGGGAAAATGCCTTCTTTCCGCTTGAATTTGAGTTTATGGTTCACTCTTTTCCTGTTTGTTTTCCGGGAAAGTTAACTGGTGGGAGGTGAGAAGGGGAGTGAAAAAATCGAAGCTTTTGTTCTTACGGCTTTACACGTTATAACTTTCTTTTTTATTTTCTTGTTCCCCAGTTCCATATTAAAGAACACGAGCAATTCGTGGAGAATTTCTCGAGTAAACCAGAGAAAAAAACATTTTTTTTGGGATTTTTAATCTTATGGAAATCAAGGAAACTTCTGTTTCTTTCCCGAGAAAGGAACTGAAATTGGGAAAAAGAAACAAACACTTAGGACACAACCCCTAACTCGAACTGCTCCATAGATTGTTCCATGATTTTAGCAACAGGAAGAGTTTGCTCCTTTCCTTCCTTCTTCCCCTTGTATGTGTATGCTTGATTGAACAGCTAGTTGCTTGCAGATCACTACACTTCAATGGTTTCTCTCGCTCGCATCTGGGAAGATACATTTGAAGGAATCACCGGCACTGTCAAATTGAAGGGCAAATCACCGGAAATGAAGAAGAGGAGTATGATTTGTGGTGATGGCGAAGAAGACGAGGCCTTTCTCGAGAAGAACGAGGAGACAAAGCTGGAATGCCCGATCTGCTTTGAGCCGTTTGATATGTCGGAAAATGCCCCTCTGGTTCTATGGTGCGGCCACACTCTCTGCAAGAGCTGTGTCCTGAGACTGCAACGAGCTGTCCTGAGATTGCAGAGACTGCTATGCCCTATCGTTCTTCCCTTCTTCGTGTCTTGCCCTTGGTGCAGCTCTCTCTCCCTCAAGCTATCCTTCAAGGGGCATCTCAAATTCCCCAAGAAGAACTACTATGTGATGTGGATGATCGGTAGCTCGCAGAGGGTTTCTTGCGCTGAAAGCAACAATCTTTCTTGCGTAGGGAGCAACGCCCAGAGCAGATCCGATGTGATCTTGGGTTCAAACCAGGAAGAACTGTTGCCGGACTGGACACTTGTTGGAACCTGGATCTTCCTCGGCTCCATCTGGAAGTCTCTTTTCGGGTATTCGGCCATGGAACAGTTGTTTCGGCTAACGTTTCTGGTTATCTTTGCTGCTTTATATGCAGCTCGAGTCGGCACACTCCTCTTATCTCTCTACGCCCTCACTGCCCTCTTTGGATCTGCCTTTTTGCTCCTTCCCAAACTCAGTTTACCAGGTATTGGTCTAGCCTGTTAAGAGGAAATCCCGGTTTAGCCTGTTTGAGGAATTTCCGGTTTCCGGAGAAATTATCAACATTCTCCAAGTGAAATTTCCCAGTGCAGGAATCGAACCGGAGAAATCACTGGTGTTTGGTACCCGGATTTGTCTCCTTTGTAAATTTTCCGGTATGGTAGCTGAACTGGAGGAAATCACGGTACAGTGGGATAATTTGGATTCCGGTTTCGTGTATGTACGGTATAGATAAAATACTAAAATGCTTGTATAGCTGCCATGGGCGGAACTATGTTATAAGCTATGGGGACATATACTCCCACTTATTTTATTTAAAAAACTTAATTTCATTATAAATTTCATAAATTTCTAACAAAAATTGTTAAATGTCCCCACAAAAAAAATTTTAATTTATCCCTTATATTATAATAATTTTTATATTGCCCGGTTGATAAATTTTTCTAGATCCGTCCATTATGCAATGAAGAATTGTGAGCAAAAGGTGTACATTAAAATAAATTTTTTATTAGTGAATTAATAAGATATCTTTTGTAATATACTTTCATTTTATTAAGATCTTGTTTATTTATATTTTAAAATTTTTTATTTAGTTAGTATGGCAATTTCGTTTCCTTTGTCAAAAATATAAAAATAAATCCGTTTTATAAAACATAACATAATTGCATCCATTAGTTTTCCAAAAAACATATAAGAAAGAAACTACAACGTAAAAAAAAAGAAAAAAAAAATTAAGGCATTGTTATGACATTATATTATCAGCATAATATTGCTTTTTTTCATATTGTTTGGGAAAATTATCTTTATTAATATTATTAACGAAAGAATCCAAGGTCGGTCCATCTCAAAAAGCTACCGTTCTTCAGAAAAATACAAATAAATAACATTTTCATGTGTCTGGGATCTGTGCCAAGCTATCATATGATAATGATGCATTATATTTATGTACCGCCAAAAATGCCAGCATTGCATTTTAATTGTTTTATTTTTTTCCCATTTGTTTTACTTATCCTCCTAATTTTTTAATTAAATATCATCCTAATTTAATTTACATTTATATAGAATCTCAATAAATATCTTCAGACCAGCCGTGGTTATGCTGTTTTTAATTAATTAGTTTTAACAATATTCATATTCTTTCCAAAACTAAAAATAGACCCGTTATATTAATTATCTATATATATCTCTGCATTAGTTATTTGGAGAGAAAAAAAAATAGACATGGACCCAATATGAAAACCATATGATCTTTTTCACCATCCCCTCTCTTTAACCATAAGAATAAACAACAAAGAAGAAATCATATCTTATCTTTTTTTTTTTTTGGTTTAAAAAAAATAAAATTTATTGGAAAAAAAAGATTGTCAAAAAGAAGGTATGAAAAAGAAAAAATCAGATTTCAGTTCTTGCCTTGATCTTTTTTTCTTGTCTCTCTTCGTCAAATGTTTGTGTTTTTTTTTCTTCCTAACAAACCAATCTATCTTTCTTTGCCCCTTTGATTTGCTTTCCGAGGAAAGTGAATCAATCGCTTTTTATCCTTTTCTGTACAATCGTTTTTCTTATACTTTCTGAAATTTTGTCTCCCCTCTTTCAGTTTTCTCTCTCGTTCTTCACCTACTTTAACGTGAGAAAAGATTCGGTGAAGAATTTCCAGGCAGCGTTAAAGGTATGATCTTTCTGAATTCCGATTCAATCTCTCGGTTTCCGGTACGTTTTTGTTTTGTATTTGAAACTGGGAAAGTCTTCGTAGTTCGTAGTCATGACTGTAGTGCAGTTTCCGGGGACTGAACCGAACTGACGGATCGAAAACGAAAGCGGGTTCTATAGTAATATATGTGTGTATATATATATACATATATATAGAAATGATTGCTTTCTCGATTGGGTAGTGATCAAAATTTGATTTTGTTAAATGGGTATTGATATGATTGATGATTGACCCCAAAAGGTACCTAGTATGATTGTGATTGTCGGCTTCGAACCACGTCGAGATCCTATGAGAAGTCGATCTTTTTGTTCTGGCGCCTTCAATGAAATCTTCCTTTATATTTTGATGAAAATGGAACCCTTGATTTATCTATCGTTAATTGATTCTGGAATAATGGATATTTGATCCATCTTTGGCGGGTGCTCATTTCCAAATGAACTACTGGGTTCTTCGATCTGATCAGAGGTGCCGATGGATTGGAGAAGCAGTTTACAATGCACTGATCGATTCATCTCTCTGTTCTGTGTGGTTTTCATAGCGTTTTTGGCTGTCTGTATGCTCAGATCTTATTCCATGTCATGTATTTTTTGTACGCTTCAAGAACACAGGACTTGGAATGTGGGACCGCAAATTTCAAAACTTCCGACATAATTTTTCTGATCTGATCCTTGTTGTGATCTAAATGTTAGCCAGAGCGAGAGAGTCGAGTTGCTTTCTCGTCGAGTTAATGTTTTAGTAGTCAAAAAAGAGTTTGATGATCCAAAAACGAACACTGTAGAATGTTGTTCGGTGGATCCTGCCGCTGATATTCTCTGTTCTTCTACAGGTCTTGTTGATTTACGATCTCTTCTGATTGGCAATGGCTGAGGAGAATGTTTTTTACGTCAAACAGATGATAGCCGAGGAGAATGATTTTGATGCAAAAGCTACGATGACATTTGAAGATATGATACCTGCAGTGGACGAGGAAAGTACAAAGGATGGTCCTCCTCCAATGTCAGAGGGTCAAAGGGTTATACCGGAGATTCATGAAGTGTTGGAGCAACCGGTCGTGAATCTGAGACGACATTCCACTGGGGTGATAGACATGAGACCAGGCAAGACAAGGGTTCAGCCTCGGTATCTTAGAAATCATGTGAGTTCAACGCATGATGTCTGTAAACATGGAAAGAGACTTGAAGATGATGTTGTGAAGCCATGGAAGTTGGCGAGGAAAAAGGGTGTTGAAGGAGAAGGTGGAGGAAAGACTGATGCTTCGGGTGTGAGAAGGAAATCGTTGGGCGATGGTTATGGTCAGATATTAAGTTCCAGACCCAAAAAACCCGAGAACTGTCCACCTGCTGCAACTGCAAAGAGAGAAGTCATGGTTGTGGAAAAACCTTGTGTTTCTTTGAATGCAGAGTCAACGAGATCCAAAGAAGATAGTGACATTGTGAGATCGACTGATGGGTCAAGCGTTAAAAGGAGTGGTCAAATAGGGAAGAACAAGGAAACTGAGAATTCTCCAAGTGATTCAGCCATGGCAAGAAAGGTATCTGGCGTGAGAAATGAGAGAACAAAGACTGATGCAAAGAAGGTTCAGAAGGTTGGCAGCACCAAGAGTTCTAAGGACGAGAATGCGGTTTCTTCTTTGAAGAAAGTAAAAACTGGTCAGAAGACAAAGACTGAGCTTTCCAGCAATGAAGATGTACCAGAAAAGACTTTGTACGTTGTTGAATCCAGTGTTGAGAAGCGAAGCGTCAAAGGGATCCAGGGCGAGATTCAGCAACCATCTGGAAGGAAAATCACAGGAATCACAGGGAACAACATGAAAGTTTCTAAACATGTGCCATCTTCTTCATCATCCTTGGAGGATAAAGGTTCAAGAACTACCAAACTAGAATCTCGGCTAACGAGATCGTCTTCCAGGTCCAAGACTAGTAGATTCAGTCCCAATTTGCATAAGAGGAAAGAAAGTGTTTCTGCAAACCTTGGAGCTGATTTAAAACCCGAAAGCAAGAATAAGCCTAGGAAGGTAGGGATAAAGGTCACTCCTTTGACTAGGCAGCTGAGTTTCAAGAGAGGGAAGGTTCTTGAACCTAAATCTGAGGATTCTACACCGACATGGATTAAATTCAGGAGGAGGGTTACTCCAGAAAGTTCGAAAACTAAAAGTGATGGGAGGAAAAAGAGCCTGAGAGACAAACGGGACAGTGGTGGGAAAAGCAATTCTACAGAAGGCAAACCCGAGAAAGTTGTCTTGAGGCATAGAAAAGTGGAAACGAAGAAGAAGCTGCAGACGTTGTTCAATAACGTGATTGAAGAAACTGCAAGTAAGTTAGCAGAGGTGAGGAAGAGCAAGGTTAAAGCACTTGTCGGTGCATTTGAGACTGTTATCTCTCTTCAGGACAACAAGAAATCTCAGAAACTTCAGAGCCAGGCCACCACATCAACTCTTTGAAGGTTTGTCCTTTTGCTTCACTATGTACAACTTCTTCTGTCCATATAAATCCATAAAAAAAAAAACACAAAAATTTGGAACTTTTTTGAGAAATTTTAAAGAGAGATTGCAACAGAGATACATCCCCTGAAAGAACAACAAGGGTTTGCTTTATCTCTTCAATGATTGTGTGTAACCTCTTCTTTTGGAAGTTTATTAAACATATGTTCCTTTTCTCAAGTACTTGCAGTAATAACTGTAATATACTGAACTCAATGTTTGAAGATAAAGAGATTGTGGGGATTTTATACATAAGCAGTCTTTATCAATGCTTGAAATCGTTATTACCAATTCGAGAGACAGCAATCTTTCAATCTAATGTTGTCTAAGACTAATCTCCTTTCTCATGATTTGAGGGCATTCTAGTAGTATTTACCTGTGTAGTTTGATCAGACTGTTGCTTGTAGATAGCCGCAGCCATTTTGTTGTAGAGATCCATGTTCATCTTCTGCAGCATAACCAGAAACTCGATTTAATCATTTCAAGATTGTGTGTTTGAAAATATTCTTGAAACCGATGTACTACCTGTGCAACAAAGGCTCTGTAAGGATCAGGCATGGTGGATGAAGAGCCGTTGTTGCAGTCTCTGGTGTTCATGGGAGGAATCATCAATGGCGACGGCGGTTGAGGAATAAAACATCCTCCGAAAGCATTTCCACCGCATCCCACCCCCATACTTGCCATTGTCGCGAGAAGAGCCATCTGAAGTTGTTGTTGTTGCTGCATGCTGAGAACTGATTGGTGGGATGGCAATGGCGGCATCATCATCTGATGTGGTAAGTTTGGTCTCATGCTCATGAACTGGATTTGCGCTTGCAGCTGTTTCAGGTGATCGATCACCTCGTCCAAGATCGAGACTTTATCCGTCTGCAGATAACGTCGTATACTTTCATAGAACGTGGCAAAATGATCGACCTTTTTCAGAAGTGAGAACTTTGTTAAAGAAGCTACTGTTCTCTGGATTGTTACCTTACTTCCATCGGGAAGAAGCTTCTGAAGCGTCCTCATCCTCTGATTGATCCTATCGCGTCGTCTCTGCCTCGCATACAAATCGGAAAGCGATGTCTCGGCATTGATGTTGTGAAGCCATGGAAGTTGGCGAGGAAAAAGGGTGTTGAAGGAGAAGGTGGAGGAAAGACTGATGCTTCGGGTGTGAGAAGGAAATCGTTGGGCGATGGTTATGGTCAGATATTAAGTTCCAGACCCAAAAAACCCGAGAACTGTCCACCTGCTGCAACTGCAAAGAGAGAAGTCATGGTTGTGGAAAAACCTTGTGTTTCTTTGAATGCAGAGTCAACGAGATCCAAAGAAGATAGTGACATTGTGAGATCGACTGATGGGTCAAGCGTTAAAAGGAGTGGTCAAATAGGGAAGAACAAGGAAACTGAGAATTCTCCAAGTGATTCAGCGGCATTCACTAGGATAAACAAAAACTGCAAAAGATCCGACACAACTTTTAAAAAAAATTATATGTTACCCTCTCGGATTCGTTATGAATAGCTGCAGCCCTTCCTCTTCTGCAAGAACGCCCTGTTTCCCCTTTCGTCTCTTGTTCTTCTCCTTCTGTTTCTCGAGTTTCCTGCAATTTCCATTCCGTTTTCTCAGAGCATATCTTTACTGACTGCAGAAAAACCAAAGCCTAGGAAGAGGGAAAAAAAAGGTGTGACTAAAGAGAATCTACATAAGAACGAGCCTTCTGTCATATCGTACCGATCCGGAACGGACATGATCTTTGTTTCCAGTTCTGGCTGTCTTCAGGCTCCGAGAAGATTCATAAGAGGTCCAAGACATAGTTCTTGTGTCGTTGGTACGGCTGTCACTTGCAGACACGCTCTGGCCCAACCCGAGGCTCTCCTCTTGCAACCCGAACCATAGATCTGTGTCTGATGAATGGGGACGTTTCCTCGCGGCTGGACCATCCTGATTGCTCGGCTCGTTGTTTGGACCATCCTGGCCCTGCAGCTTGCCGTGCAGCGCAGCGTGGTGGTGGACTACTGACTCCAACGTGTCGCAGCCACCGAGGCTTGGAGCCCATATGGGCCTAGCCGAGGTGGTTGGTTGCACCATTCCGCCTAAGCCATGAACGGTTAGTTGCCCATTTTCCCATGCGAGCTCTCTGACTCCGTAGTTCGACCTGAGATTTCAGAAGAGTGGGGGTCAATTACTTGCGTAGGAAGAAAGGGTAAACATCAATGGAAAGCTTCAGTCATTTTGGCCAGATGAACATGGAAATATAGAAAGCAAGAGTAGTGCCCTGAATGCAGCACCGGCGGTGGATATGTTAACTCGACAAGTAACGTGGAAATGGATCAGTTAAGAGTGTGTGTGTGTTCAGAAGAGGTTAAGAAGAAGACAGAACAGAAGAGAGGAGAGATTACATGTGGACAAGACGAGAAGTGAAGTGAAGCCACGCGTGCGGAGAGTTCTTCTTCTTCTTACAATCCTTGTATACGATCAGTTGTAATCGCTCGATTGGATAATTCCTATGTACCAACTCAACACCTTACAATACAATACAGCGACCACTCAATATACAGTTGCCTCTCTCTCTCTCTCTCTCTCTCTCTCTCTCTCTCTCTCTCTCTCTCTCTCTCTAGTGAATAAAATAAATATATGGGGAAGCAAAAGGGTATCTCGAGTAGGGTTTCATGACAACAATGGGTCGTTCACCACTTCATGCAAGTGGCTTGAGAACCACATCTTTGGGAGTTTGAGATTTTATGCTCCGTCGGTCCAAATTCTCTTCCTCTTTTAATAAAATCTCTAACCCCCCACAAACACTTGCATGCCATTATTCAATTTTTTTTTTACGTATTATACATAACATATGATCTACAGCACGTCGAATACCATTGTGTTATATATTTCAATTTCATATTCATAGCCAGAAACACGATGGGCCAATTTGCGGGCATGATTATGTTATTACAATTTACTCGGTGTGTCGCGTCAAGAAATGTAGCTGCAGTTATTTCGCGGGGGAGGTTTTGCGACACAGCGCTATCGTGACACGTGGAGAGATACTATTGGTCAGTGATTGGTCCACCGTCACCACGAGTATCGCTGGCTTCTTCAGCCAATCATTTTCTCGCATTAGATTCGTGACAGCGCATCCTAACGTCTTCTCCCCCAAGTAGTTTATCTGTTCGGTCTCTCCTTTTGTTTTAAATACGAGTTTATCTGCTCACTTCTCCTGCCATTTTTTTTCTTTAAAATAATAATAATAATAATAAATAAATAAATATTCTATTTGAATTATATTGTTTCATGATAGAAATGTCGGTTTTGTTAATTTCAGTCGGTCCACGCTACATGAATCGTGTGCGTGCACTATTCTTATATACCATCTCACATTGAATCTAGATTTATTTTAATAACCATAGTAAATATACAAGTTTTAAAGAGCGTGTAAAAGTCGCCAATATGCTTAAAATTTATATATTTAATTTATACGTGGAAGATGCTGTTTAATTGGATATTCTATTTCAAATATTTTCGAGCAATAATCATTATTTTGTTTTTGTAGGTATATTGGTATTAAACTTGATAAGTTTCACGTCTTTCATGAATAAATTCACAAACTTCGGATGCATGCATGTGTGAGAGAAATTTTAATAATTTTGTAAAAAATTCAAATTTTAATACGTATTATAATCTCTACAAGATTAAAGAGAAGATTCATAAGTTTACAAAAGATTAATGATAATTTCTTAATTTTTAAAAAAATATATATATGTGATTACGTCGAGTATCTATATATATCACGTTACAAAGTCGTGAAATGCAGATTCGAATCCAATCTACAAATAAACTTGGTTTATAAATTCTAGCTAACCCGAATCTAAATTATTTGAATACCCAAAAATCGGATAATTTGTTAGAGCACCACTAATATTCTGGTATATGATTCCACGTATGTTAGAATAATATACGGGGACGATTTTTTTTTATCTATTTTTATCTATGATGTGTTTGACGATTGAATAATTGTATAACGACAGTATATATATATATAGGCTATGGACCAAATTATGCCCATTTTCCTTTTCAATGTGAAACCAATTCCATACCACAAATTGGATCATCACATCTTTAATTTTTGGTCCATTCCCCTTCTTTGTTTCTATGTTCAAACACATCATTTTATGAATATATACATGTATGCATATATATATATATATGTATATATTGTGTGTGTATAAGCGTAAGATGAAATTCTCTTCCCACCAAATATGACGTATATTTATAAATCACCGATCTGTTTGACATTAGGCGCGCGTGTAGATTCTATTAATGTTCAATCGGTGAATATATTTTACTTATTATTATTTTAATTAAAATTTACCGGAAATGTGATAACATGGAAAACATATATTAATTAACTAGCACATAAAAACTTGTCTTTATTTGTATTTTTGGCGCGCGTGTAGATTCTTAATCGACATAAACATAAATTGTTAATTATATTTGTATTTTTGGCCGTACAGAACCACATATATACATATAATTAAAAAAAAATTGGTTTAAAAAAGGAATTAAAATGGGAAATATGAAGGTTCCTTTTTTGTGGGCTGGGCCTTGCCTACTTCACACTTGGATTGGGCCTTACTCTTTTGTAGATGAAAAAAAATACAGCAAGTGCTTCTCTTTATTTTATTTTATTTAGGATAATTCCATTTAAAACCCTGTACTTTTCTCTCGTCGCAATTTAAACCCTATACTTTTTTTTTATCCAAAAAAACATTGTACTTTTAAAAATTGGCAATTAAAACTCTATACTTTTAAAAATTGGCAAATAAAACCCTGAACGAAAAAATATATTATTTAATGCTGACATTGCATCCTAGTCATCTGTCACATCATCAATCCCTAATATTTAATAATATTAATTAATACAAAATAAAAATAAAATAATAATAAAAATAAAAATAAAATTTTAAAAATTATACACATACATATATAATGAAATGATATACATATATACACATATATAAACATATTTATATATATACACACATATATATAATACATATATATATATAT